GGTGGATTGATTCAGTGACTGGGGTAATCAGGATGGGTGTGTCAGAGGCAATGAGATTGGCACGGGATAGAGCACAGTTTAGGGCTGTTGTACATAGGGTCGCTATGAGTCGCAAATGACTCGACAGCACATAACAACAACAACAACAACACCGGCAGGAAACTTCCAATGTTCAAGCTGGATTCAGAAGAATCCATGATGGTTATGAGGAATATTGTTTCGAATTCCAGATGGATTCTGACTGCAAGCAGAGAATACCACAACAATGTTTAATTGCTTTATTGACTACGAAAAGGTGTTTGGTATTATGGATCCTAAAATCATAACAAATATAGCTAAGATTGAGAAGAATGGAAATCCCATAATGCTTAATGGTCCAAAACATTTACATAGACCAAGAAGCAGTTATCTGAACAGAAAGTAAAGAAGACTTGAAGCCTTTACTGAAGAAGATCAAAGACTACATACAATTTTCAACATGGATTATATCTCAACATCAAGAAAACAAAAAATTTCACCTCTGGACCAATAGCCAATACACAATGATAGGTAGAGAAAAGACTGAAGTTTTCAAGAACTTCATTTTACTTAGACCCAACACCCATGGTAGCAGCCAGCCATCAAGGAATCAAAAGCCACGTTGCATTGGGAAAATCGGCTGTGAATGACTTCTGCAAAGTGCTAAAGAGCAATGATGTCAGTTTAAAGACTAAGGTGCTCCTGAACCAAGCCACAGTATTTTCAATTTCTTCCTGTGTAACTGAAAGTTGAGTAATGAAGAAGTTTCATCCTACATACTTAAGGCATGTTGCTTTGTGGTTGTGTACCATAGAATCAGAATTGACCCATATCTGACCCCCCAGCAGGTTTTCAGAGGCAGTTAATCGCATGAGAGGAGATTGCCCATTCATCTCCCACAGCGAAGCTGGTGGTCTCAACCCACATGCCTTCAGGATTACAGCTCAGCCTCTTGCCATTAGGCCACCAGAGCTCCCTCAGACAATGTTTAAGGATGACCAAAGAAGAATCGTAGTTTAAATTATGGTGTTGGCAAGGAGCTCTGAATATCCTATAGAATGTAAAAGGAACACACAAATAATATATTGGGGGAAGTACAACCAAGGTGCTTCTTAGAGGCAGAAACAGTGAAACTTCATCTCATATATTTTGGCCATCCATGTTTCCAGGAGGAGCCAGTCCTTGGCTGACATCGGAGTGTATTCTAGGTGCCTCCAGATGTACCTACGTCAGGAAGACAATCGCAGGCTGGCTTAAGAATGATGGTAGAGATGCTCTTGCAGTTATTCCTTTGCTGAGAGAGGGAGGAAGCGCCCTGTTATGCATGAGAGAAATGGTGACTCTTTTCTAGAGTCTGGGTTCCACGCTGGCACAGTCTCTCCTGGAATGTGCTCAAGGCCTCCTCCGCCATGTTCTTTCCCATAGTGCCTTTTCCTCACTCCTGTGCTGGCACCTGTCACTTAGACCTCTATACAGGTCTATCCTTACCTGTCTCTGCCTAGGCCTGTAAGATTATTTCTTTCTTAAAACTTTTTCTAAAAACTTTAAAAGTAGCAATTCCTTTTTTTAAAAAAATTTTTATTTTATTATTTTGTGTGTGAGTGTACCGTCAAATCAGATCTGACTGGTACAGGAGGAGATTGTCCCTCCTTCCTCGGCAGAGCATCTGGTGGATTTGAACCGTGTGCCTCTGGGATTGTAGTTGCAGCTCCTCGCCACTAGGCCACCAGAGCTTCCTAAAAGTAGCAGTTCCTTAACCCTCCCTTCTCTACATGTAGAACTTGAGAGTTGTTTTTTTGTTGGTGTGTGCCATCAAGTTGGAACTGACTCATAGCTGACCCTCCACCGGGTTTTCAGCAGCAGTTTAATCACGTGGGAAGAGATTACACATTCTTCTTTTCACAGAGCAGCTGGTGCATTCGAACTTCTTGCCTTTGGAATTGCAGCACAACTTCTTACTACCAGGCCAGAGAGGAACTGAATCTTGTTTATGCTTGGTATGCATTGCACCTGATAAAAAAAAATGTTCTGAATGAATACTGTTTGGTATCATAGCGCCAGGACAGACCTTCATCCTTTAGATACTTGAGGTGCTGTCCAGCCCTCACAGTGCAGTGCTCTGTAAGCATGCTCTTGAGCTCTCCATGAAGAGTGAGTGTCTTCCTTCCACCAGCCAACCTGGCCTGTCTCTCTGCCTCCTCGAAGGGCTCTGAAGAGTTACCTGCCTTAACCAAACTTTGTTATTATTGTTAAGTGCTGTGGAGCTGATGACAATACATAGTGACCCTATGAACAAAAGTCTTGAACACAAAACTTTCATCTTTTC